CATTTTAATTGTTAATATGTCTTTGTTGATTAATTCATCTATACGTAGATCGGACAGGTATATAGAAGACAATTCTACGATATCTACCCCATATGTTTGGTTTATATTTATTTCTCTCAACACACATCCTCAAAAATAAATACTGTACATCTTTTTGGATTTTTAAACTGCTTTGGATCTGGAATTTTATCAGGTGTAAGTGCAGTAAAAGTAACATCTTCATAATATGGTTTGGAAGGATCTGGTATTTTCTTATAGAAGTTTCGAATTAATCGGTATTTGGGTTCATTAATATATTGCCCTACTAATACAATATCATTACATCTTATAGGACGTTCACCAATTTTCTTTTTTCCCTCTTTCATATCATAATACTTATCCCTGAGAAAGAGGTTTAACAGCATATTGGTCTTACCAGTGTTCGATCTCCCAGATACCATGATATGGAAAGGCCATTTTGGAGCATCTTCATCATCTAAAGATTTTTTCGGTGGTTTGATCTCATCGATATTATATACATTAAAATATTTCATTCTGATGGTAAATATATCTTTACGAATTTTTTTCTTTTTAATATACATAAGTATAGACATGTCGAATCTTGCAGAAGCTCAAATTTACACCAAAAAACGCGGTTGGAAGGCTCTTATTCAAACCGGTCCTACAACTTTCTTATTTTCATGCAATAGAAATCACTTATGGGAGAGGCCTATTACGAAGAGATATGACTGGTGCCCCCTATGTCCTCATTCGAAAGGGGGACGTACATCAAGGTATATATTCGAAGATCTGTTAGGAAAAAAGTTTCCACCTCGTGCACTGAAATTTTTACAAGGGATGCGCTTCGATGGATACAATGAGGAATTAAAACTGGCCTTCGAATTTAATGGTCAGCATCACTATGCTCTTAATCCAATGTTTCATAAAAGTGGACAAGATTTGAGCAAGAAAAGGAAACGTGATCAAAAAAAGCGGGATATATGTAAGCAAGAAGGTATATGCCTCATCGAAATACCATATTTCGCAGATATCAAATCTTTTATAAGAGAAGCTTTAACCAAGAACGGCTATCTCAAGACCGTCCCAATTGATAATGATGTATTTCGAAAATGCTCTGGTTTTGAAGTCACATGATTAACGGTTTGGTAATGATATTTTTGAATAAATTCATCTGGCGAATATTCAAGATTTTCCATATCTATGATTTGCAATTCTTCCCTCTTGAATGGTCTACGTGGATTTCTACCCATTAAATGTCTTGTAGATTCAACCGCTTCCTTCTCTAAATAATATAAGACTGGCTGTGGAGGATTCTTTCCAACAATGATTCTTCTGATTCGATAAACACGTAAACTCCAGTATGGATCAGTTGCTCAGTGTGTATGTCAGCACGTAAGTATAGAAGAAATTAGTTTATATGGTATTTTTTTTGGTATTTATATATATTTTTTTAGTTCTGAACACCAAAGCGTTGCAAGCGCAAATAAGAGAGGCGAAGGGAAATCAGGAAGATGACCTGACATTATGTTTGTAGAGAAACATATTGGAAAATATTACGAGCTCATGTATACACAGAATGTTCGCGTTTATTTTGCACAATTAAAAAAAAGAATGATGATATTGTGAAGTTGTGGCGGGAAACAAATGATGGGATGTATTGGGTTCGTAAAAACATTAGGCCTAATAAGAACGAATTTGGGATTGTTGGAATACAAGTAATGCTCTTGTTCGAGATATGGATGATGTAGATAGATATTTTCATTTATGTGAATGTGAAATTCCTGTGCAACAATCGGATCCTACAATTGTGGCAAGATTTGTGAAGACTTTGTTGAATATGCGGAACATTTTAATTGTTAATATGTCTTTGTTGATTAATTCATCTATACGTAGATCGGACAGGTATATAGAAGACAATTCTACGATATCTACCCCATATGTTTGGTTTATATTTATTTCTCTCATACTTTGATTTTTGATTTTTCATTAATAAAGCTATACATATAAATATCCGAAAAAATAAGCCAATTAATTGTTGCACATATTGAGAATATTTCGAATCGAGATTATTTACCTCTAAATACCTACATACCTCTCCATAATCAAATATCGCCTTTACGTCTTCCGTATTCCTATTTATGATTATGATAATTATAAAATTTTCGTCAATTCTATGCATATATTTATCCCGGTTTTTAAATTGCATATACTGCTTAGGATTATCAGTGAATCTTCCCGAGTTTTGCGTCTGTCATTTCTAGATTTGCGAGAGATATTAATATCTTATGTATAATGACGTATTATATCAAAGTATTGAGACACATTCAATTTTTTTCTTGCTAATTTGATCGGTGTGAACAATTGCTCACGCAGACATGATTTTGATGAAAATAAGCACGGACGTCCACATAATTCTGATCGAGACAACGGTTACATAGAACCTTACTTTATTGATATATAAAAAATGTTACCGAAATAACAACATAAAAATAAAATAAAAAATCATATCGCAGTTACATACTGCTGACGTAAATAAAATACATATCCACTATTACTAATGGGCGGGGTTGGGTATTTACTCGTACAATAATATGAATTTTTTCATTGGGAGGTTGTCTATTAAAATGCTTAGAAATTAATTCATATGGATATATTGGCCTACCAACGTCATTCCCATCTTGATACGCTGTAATTTGCTGGTGGATGTTATAATTAGATCTAAATTAATCTTATGAAGAACAAATTCGTAAGGAATAATATTGGGGATTGCTATTTCTCACCGGTGGTGATTGTCGCCGAAATACTAATATTTAATTAAAAAAAATTTTTTTGAAGTATATCTCTATTATAATTATTACTAGTTGTAGCCCCGTCGCTTTGCTGACGGGTTACAACTATCAGCTGATTTGTTTTTGTCTTCTTATAATATATACATATATAATACCATGTGACCTGATCCAAAGGCCAACCACTCCACCCCTCTAAAATCAACTAATTTCTGACACACATTTATTTAGTTATTATACTAATCAATGAGCAGAACACGGGTTTTTATTCTGTTGCATTTATAGTATATACATAACAGATTATTATTACACAATTACACAATTTAAAAATTAGAGATAACGAAGTTATCTCAGACTGAAAAATTCTAATTATTATATTTAAAAATTATTACGCATCACAACATATTTATTTACGTGCTTGTGGTAGTCTAAACGTAACCCAACGATACAATAATAGATAGATTGCATGTGTTAGTCTAAAACGTTACGCATCACAACATATTTATTTGCGTCTAAACGTAACTCAACGATACAATAATAGGTAAATTGTGATACACGCTTGCATTATTGCACAATTCAAAAATCATTATTTATGCGTAGCAGCCTAAACGTTATGTTTATTTATACGCGTGCTATTCTAAACCTTAGGTTTATTTGCCATTCTAAACGTTACGCTCACGTGAACCCAACGTTTTAATATATAGCTAATTGTATTTTTTAAATATTGAATCACTTTTTCTAAACTATTTAATGCCTCTTTATGAGAAATAACCATCATCAGAATCATCAACCTCAAGATTTGGTTCCTAATAATTTCTTCATCAGTAAAAAAAAAGGGATAGCATACAAACATTAATACTTTATTGCAACCATCAAAAAAGGATAATGCACAAATAATTTTTACACATTGCATTTAGAAACCACATCAACATTAATCATTAATGTAAAAGATTGCCACAATTTCCACTATAACAATCACAATTCATAAGGTATTGGGAACAGGAGGGAACGTACTGGGAACACAAAATTAACAGGAGGGAACACAAAAATTTAACCCATGCAATTTTGTGA